GATAACCATTCTTACCTACACGTCATTATTGTGTCTGAAATTCTTGTCTTATTGTCTTCTTTTCTTTCCAGGTTTCGATGGTGTTTCTATGGCTTGCCCAAGATTGCTGTCATGGCATCTATTGTTGCTGAAGACCTTGTGAGGTAGAACTGTAGAGAAAGAGTCGCGACGTTGTTCGAAGAAGACACGGACACGGACACGGAAAAGATGACAGGACGACGCCGGACACGACGCGAATCGTGGATGTGGTCTCGAGAACACGAGCGTTGTTAGGCTAGCTTATTCAGCACGGAGACACCGACACTGTTATAACCCATCATAGAGACACCCGCGGACATTAGTTGTGAAAGAATTTGTCTCCACATCTTTCCTATCCACACACACAGACATGTTTAGTACAACACCTTCTACGGGCGCTATAGCCAAGTGGTTACGGCGACAGATTAGAATCTCGAGAAACTATCTGTTCCTCTTTGAGGGCGCAGGTTCAAATCCTGCTGGCGTCGTTGGGGAGAATAATCGGTATGCCTTTTTACGAGACTGAAAGTTTTATCTGCGTGAATCTACATTAATAAGAAGCCTCAGTCAGTGCAAGATACTGAAGGTATCGTGTATGTAGTGCGTATACATATGTATGTTTGAAATGACTGGGGAACTGGGAAGGTTGCGATAAATGCAGAAAGTATTGACCCTGACGTCGCTGAACGAGGGTTGGAGGTGTCCCAGTCCGCAATCGAAATCTAACATGTCGCTAGTACATAGTATTTGTGGACGCATACACGACACACTAACAGGTTCCACTGGCAGTCGATACAGTCAAAAGTTTCTCAGAATGTCACTATGTACATATGTTGAAAAGCCGGAGAGCAAGTGAGCGCGCCCCTGGCTCCCGCCGGGCCCATTCTGGCCCATTATTGAAGCTTGCCGGCGGCAAAATAAAAGCCCATCCATTGATCGTTCATTGGAATTAAGCCGCCCTTCGTAGTTGGTCGGTAATTGCACAAAGAAGCTCTCAGAGGGGTCGGATTGTATATAACCAACTTGAGAGTCGAATAACTCTCTATCTCTGACAGGCGTCCATTGAATCGTTGATGCTCTCTCTCCAATCGCTCGGGTTCGTATACTCCTTGCTGCTCGAGTGTCTAGATCATCAGAACTCGCAGGATTGACATAATCCACTGACATCACATAGCGCATGACATGAAACTGTTCCTCAAAGTTCTCAGGTGCTATATACTCTTGTCGCACGCCACGGAGCAAAACCTACCCCGTACACAGATCTTATCAGAAACCCGCCCTGATCATCATCTTGAGTATGCGTCCCTGGACGCGGCTTTTTTATCGGATTTGGTCATGTGTGGCACCCCATCTTGTTATCATTTCCGGTTTTGGGTTTTATTTTCTTTGGTTCCGGGCCGTTTACTTCCGCGTTTGCTTCCGCTTTCAGGTTTTGTATCGTGGTCTGGTAGTACAATTTCAACACAGGTTATGTAAAATTACAGAAGAGAGAGAGAAACAGAGGAAGGAAGAAACATTTCGCCATATCGCTGGGGTCTTTCAATATCATGGCAAGTATTCACAACACAACACAATCCTTTTTTTTCTTTTTCTCAAAAACGCATCTTCTCCATCAAGTTGTCGAGTTCCTCGTCACTTCGAGCTCTTTCGAGCGCATCAAGTGGCATTACGGCACCCATGAGCCATCCCAGTGCAGGAACCACCATTTTTCCCTGGCTCTGAAGCGCTAACATATCAAAAAAAACAACGGCGATCAGACGTCATAGAAGTTACAACGAGGCCGCGACACTACCTTTGAGATCCTCATATCGCGCTATTATCTGATTGATCTGGGACTCGGAAAAGGGAAACACTGCGCCCTCTGTCAGGGCGACTCGAGCTGTAGACACATGCTGCGTGAGCGTTGTGATTCCCGCATGTAGTAGACAGGAGGCGGAGGAGCCCTCCTAGTGCGTACCACTGCGGATTGCCTGCGTGAACGCGGCTTCGGTGTTTGGCGGGAGTTCTGGATGATGTGATGGATATTCAGCGACGTGTGACCAAAAGTATTCGGGCGAGTCTTTGACTTGTAATCCTGCCGGGATCGAGATGCGCGCGAGTTAGACGGACATAGGGACGTTGATTATAGTAGAAATAGAAAGACCGACCTAATTCTTCTGTCCATTCATATTCGAGCCCAAGAGTCCGAGAGAACATGCCGATCACTGCCACCTCTTCGGTGACGTCGGACAGCACTAATTCCCAATCGGCGGGCAGCTGTGCCACACTGTTGTCCAGGCATTGTAGATGGTCCTCGCGAGCGTCGAGGACATGTCGTAGCTTTTCAGGATCGCGAATGTTGTCGGGTGTGATCAGTCGTAGTCCTCGGTGGTAGTAGTAGATGTCGCCGTTAGGGTGTTCGTATTGCTCCCACTCGGGGGGTACTGGGAGCTGACTATTTTTTTCCCATCTCATGTCAGTAGAGCCGCTGCAATCTTCCGTAAATTTTGCACACTACCTCGTCCCGTTATTCGTCAAAAACCTCTGATATGTGGTGGTGGGAATAAAGCCCATGCGCGACTCATTAGTGAGGGCGTCTGGGGCATTTGTGGACGGCGACATCGCGAGGTATAGAGGTATGGCAGATCACATAGTCCAAGGATTCGTGCAAGGCGCACGAGGGCAAGTTATCTAGGCTCGGCTAACCCTAGTCCTAAATGAACGGGAGAAAGTCGACAGCCTTCTGAGGGTGCATGAGACTCAATCAAACAGGACGCTTGACCGTGACAATTGGCAGATGCTGTTCCCAAGTTCACACACACCGGCAAAACGCTGACGCTCCGCGGCGGAGTGCGGTAATGCTGGGGCAAGTTATTGTGTACATATACATTTTCAGTATAATTATATCTAATTAATGAGCGGGGTCGTGGACCCCTAGAGCTCGGTAAAAAGAGTCTCGGATCTGTACAGCTTGCGAGCCGTGCTTGGCCTCGGATCTGAGTGCCCCCACATTCGCTGATCAAGGGTACTATGTATATGTCATATGTACAGGGTATTTCCCTGTCAGCCTCCCTGAATTCTGCAATGACATAGCTTATGATTATAGCTCGATAGATGTAGTTTGTTATACTTGAAGAGAAGGAAAAAAAGAAAAAGAACTGACCATGCGCTAATAGCCGTGGTCTCAGGTCTCCGTGTTTTGTCCACGATGACATGAATCTTGTGACAATCCAAGAGAAGTCTTCCTTTGATATATGGAGATTTGTCGGAATCAGAAAACACGAGTGGAGGGGATGGATTCAACCGAGTCCTGGTTGATACCTTCCTCTTTTGAATTATTCAACGATAGTAGAGGCTCTGCGAGAGAGGGAAAATATTCAATGGTACACCGCATTCATGGAAGGCAGTCGTGTCAGCTTTCCAAAAAGCTTTGTCTCGTGACTGGCCGATTCGGACTCCGGAACATGCAAGAGTTGGACCGGGCTGCATATATTTTTGGCCAAATCTGCCTTAATTTTTTTCACAGAAGCAAAGCACAAGGGTCATGGAGACCTTGAAGGAGAGGTCGACATAAGCTTTGCAGCCCTGTCGTCGAGGAATTCCTGTTTTTGGTGCCGGCGGAGATTGCAACTCTCCGCAAGTCCTTTATCTTCACGGAGCTATAAGATTGTCATCTCGTCAACTTTCTTTTCCGACGGTAATTTTTTGTGTTACCGTCAGAGGAAGCCTTGAACCAATGTCTAGCAAAAACTCACGATTGGCGCTGGGAAACCCACAAATGATCAGCGTGCATCATAAGGTTCCCACAAAGTAAGTCATGGGATGTGTCGTGGGATGCAGTGACCTGTGAACTGATGGTTTAAAGGTAGAACCACGGCCTACGGCTTCTCCTATAGCCGTTGTGCTTCCCCATAAGAAAGACCACCTCTGTCTTATCTATCCAGCGGTGGCTCGTTACCAATAATTTCCAAGATTTAGTCAAACCAAGCATTAGTATGGCGAACACGACTAAGAAGCCGTGGTATGCGCAGCGTACACTTGCCGAAGGTGAGCTCTCTTTTCGAATCAACAAGACAGGTCTGGATCTTGGCACAGCCGACGCAATCATAACTGCTCCCGGAAGTCTGCTCGAACTTGAGACTCGTTACATCGACGGACGTCTACAACGCGTGTACAAACGCCTCTACCCGTCATTACGTACCTTCTGGCTCTTAGTCGCGGCGGAACACGCAGACTTGACCTACGTGGTCCTGGAGAACCAACGTATATCGTATAAACAGGCATTTGAACAGTCTTTGAGAGCCGCAGGGGTTTTGAGAAGTGTGTACGGTGTGAAGAAAGGTATGGTTGCTTTTGTGTTTTGTGCTTTTCATTGGAATAAGCCAACCATGGCACACATAGGTGACCGAGTTGGGATATGTTCAAGAAATTACCCGGATTATGTGGTTGCATTTTGGGCATGTCGTAAGTCTTAAGCAGACTGACCTGGCTCATATGGCTCAACGATTGATACGCAAGACCTGATTGGTGCCGTCTCCGTCCTTGTCAATGCGTAAGTGGAGCCGGACTGCAGAGGAAGGATCCATGCTTACAACCTTCTCGTTCCGGTTATATAAAGCTGGCTCCCTCAGAAACAACTCCTGTTCTGTTTGGTTCATACAGAATGCAAGGTCATCATTCTGGACCCTGAACGTGCCGACCGTTTGGAGGAATGCGTCGAGGAACTCAAGAATGACGCCAAGAGCAATGGCATACTCGTGTTCAACTCCCACGAGGGTAAGGGCAAGTGGAAAGAGATGGAGAGCTGGGATACAGTGCTCGCTGCGTATAAAGGAGACACGAAAGGGATTGAGACGGGCAAAGAAGAGGAAGATATTCTACCGGAGGATAATGCGGCTATTCTCTTCACGTCTGGTAAGCTAGATGAAAATAGTTATCATCCCGACTTTTGCTGACAGAAGCAGGAACGACTGGGATGCCGAAAGGCGTGTTGAGCACACAGAGACAGTACTTGACAAATCTCTTCAACGTATGCACGCCAACGCCAAACGCTTCATCATACCATGATACTTGTGACTGATCAGTCACCTCACAGTGCTTTATTGGTACCTTGAGATCTGCGTTGCGGAAAGGAGACAACATACTGCCAGTCAAACCCACGGGACCCCAGAAGGGGTCTTTGCTGTCCGTACCTTTTTTCCATGCTACAGGCTCGACAAGCCGAATGGTATGTCGTCCATTTTCCATAACATGTCTGTGTGCGCCATATACATGATTAATACGGGTCCTTCTTCAGATGCTAGCTACGTTTTTGGGGTCAAAGATCGTCCTTATGCGGAGGTGGATACCAGAGGAGGGTGTCAGGTGATACCTATTACCCCTAATCCAGTGGCGCCAGCATGGTTGACTTACTGTTAACAGATTGATGAAGGAAGAGAACTGTACCACAGCAGGCGGGTTCGTCACAAAAAGACGATTCTGGGAGTCAAATGCTTACCCGTCGTGATAT